GAGGTGTTCCATCACTCTCACCTACTCCCATATCGCAATTACTCTACTATAAATATAAACACAACATATTATCTCAACGTGTTCATGTCACCGTTGCTCGTCGAAATTTTGAGAAGATGGAGCCTGTCGAATCAGCAGCCAACCTCCGTTCACAATACTGTGAAGTTCTTCGTAGTCGCGGTTGTCGTCCAAGTAAGCTTCTTTCATAGATTTGGTCAATTTTGTGTTAAAGATCATCACTAGCCCAATAGAACAAATATTATCTAGAAGACTTTAGCTTGTTCTAGAACGCTCTAGAAGATTCTAGAACATTATGGAAGACTATGGAAGACTCCGGAATATACCGGAAGAGTCTAGAATACTCTAGAACGACATGGAAGACCCTGGAAGGTTATGGATCATTCTAGAAGACACTGGAGCAACCTAGACCTCTCCAGAACATGGTAGAATATTCTAGAAACATATGGAAGCATATAGAGTATGTTAGATATTTCTAGAGTTATCTAGTAGGTAGTAAGTGTATACTAGTATCTAGAACCTTCCTAAGAGGCCTATAAATAGGTGTGGAGCTCATTTGCTCCAAACCATCCAAGAAAGCCTCAAAGAGAGCAAAGTGTGTAGTAGTCTCACAAAGTGTAAGGTCTTCTTAAGTGTCTTAATAAAAGTCTTTTTGTTTCCCATACAAAGAGTCGTGTTCAACATTTTGATGTTGATTTGTTGCGAATATTTGGGCTCATATCATGCTCTCCTCTACTCTCATACGATGCAATATACAAAAATAAGGAGTTGTTCTAGGATAGACATTGCAGCTAGATTGCCAGTAGTAGTATAAGATTTCTTTTGAGCTAAGATAGTGGCTATGGAGATCCGAGCTAAATTGTGTGCGTATTATGTATCTAAATTTGTTTATGAATATCGACGGTTTCCTCAATCTAGTAAGAGTACTATAAGGCCAGTTGCTTTCATTATAAAATAACTCGTTTGATTGTCCATAGAAAAAGTGCAAAACTTGTCTGTTTCTATTGTAGCACCATGTTTCTTTGTTGTCCATTAATTGTTGTCTAAATAAAGTAATCGAGAAGGAAAAACTAAGATGGCGTAAATTTGTAAAATGTTAGGACCTAATTGGGAAAGCCTCATTTCCTTAACTTTTTCAATTAAGTTTTTCTCTTGCATCAACTCAAAAAGAAACATAACTAGCTTAGCATATTAAGTCATGACCCCATTATGTAAAAAAGAAACAACACCAAACTTTGTTCTTTATCTCTCATTGTCTTGTTAAGAGAGGAATTAAGTTTAACTTTTTTCATCAATAACTACTGTTATCACTCTTATCCAACCACTATTATGTTTATCAATAATTTCATTGAAATATGAGTTCATCTCTTTATTTGTCAAAATTTGGATTCATATTATATTTCTGCTACTTTTTGTTTTCAGTTCCACTTCTGAAACTACCTGCAAAGCCCGTGGAGGATCCCATATTTCAGACAATGCCTACTAAATTGGTGGACTTTAAGGTGGATATTACTTGACATATACTTTAGCTTTCTGTTAATCTTTGTTAGAAGTTATCTTATTTAACACTATCAGGCAATGAGATCCTACCCGAAAGCACGCAATATTAACGTCAAGGAACAGCTCAATGAAGAAAACTTTTACTTAACCACTGAGGTAACTTAGACCATGTTTCTTTTGTCTCATTGGATGTTGACCGGATAAAGTTTAATATGAATATATGATGCTTAAAAGATATCTAAGAAAATAACTACATACTTTGGAATATGGAAAACAAGATCAAATTTGTAATATCAATATATGATGCATAAAGTTTAATATGTGAAACTTATTATTTTATTAAAATTAGAAATCAGAGCAAGGGCTACTGCCTGTCCTCATTTTGAGCATGAAACAAAGAACACAATCGAAAAGACCAGCTGTTGTTTTCCTACATCCAACAAATGCAAACAAAGAGCATCTACGCCCTTCACTTGAGGTATAGTATAAAATTACAAGGCTAGACTGGTCATTTCTTCATTTGACAAAAGACTTTGATCTAACGAGTTCTTCCTTTCAATTCAGGATTATGCTTCACGTGGATATATTGCAATTGCCATTGATTCTCGTTACCATGGAGAACGTGCCAAAACCCCCACCGCCTATCAAGATGTGAGCACCGAAACTTTTCTTTAATTTTATTTGGTTTATGCCAAAAAAGAATAGGGCTAAATGCAAGAAAATAAGAAATAGCAACATACTTTCATATATTTATTTATTATAGCATCCTACATTGAAGAAAATCTATCCAATTATAGCAATGTGATTCACATAGAAACCAACTTTTCGTTGCTATAGTTGGGTAGATTTTTGAGAGTACAATGGTCAATGGATAATATACAAATCATCTTTCATGATCTCAAAGCAAAAATATAACCTCAATTTCATATATTCTGGATCCAGGCTCTTGTTTCAGCATGGAAAAATGGTGATACAATGCCATTTATATTTGACACGGTTATACTTCTTCACTCTTGAATTTTTCAAATGACATTCATTATATACTTTTGATGCCCAAATGTTTAACATTTATTATTTTTTAGGTGTGGGACCTTACAAAGTTGGCAGAATATCTAACCACAAGAGATGATATAGACCATTCCAAGATAGGAATCACTGGGAATTCGCTTGGAGGTTGAATTTTAATATTTTATTAAACACATCATCTTGAAATAACATGAGTATATATATATATATATATATATATATATATATATTATATATATATATATATTCTTTTATTATGAGCTATTATGCCTTTAATTCCATAACTCATTTGTGATATGTGATTCAGGAATGGGTGCATGGTTTGCTGCTTTTATTGATACACGTTATTCAGTTGCTGTCCCCGTAATTGCTGTTCAGGTATTGTTTATTTTTGACTTAATGGGCTTAATTTAACACTTAATCTAACCTACTAACTTAATATGAATGTGTAGGGCTTTCGGTGGGCCATAGAAAATGATCAATGGCAAGCTCGAGTTGACAGTATGAAGCCTGTGTTTGAACGTAATTAAGACACAACTTTACAAAAGAAATATAAAATCTTTATTTTTTATATGTTATGATTTCTATGTTTAATAAAACATGTAAGTTAAGCTATATATCGGTGTTTAACGACTTTGAACTGTAAATTTGTACAAATTTCTCTCATTTATTTCCTCAAATATATTTATAAAAATTGTTTAAAAGTTCTCTTAAAATGTGTGTGTATATATATATATATATATATATATATATATATATATATATATATATTTGTTTTTAAAATCTTACAGCTATAGCTAGCACATGCACTCTTTCTAAATTATAATTTTTTTTGCACGATTTTGTGATGGTGCATTTATATTCTTTTTCTTCAGAAGCAAGGATTGATTTAGGGAAGGAAGCCATTGACAAAGAGGTTGTGGAAAAGGTATGTTCCATAAAGATTGCTAAATGTGTTGCTAACGTGGCATTCTGCTGGCGTCTACCTGTTGTTGTTGTGCTACTATTTTGACCAGGTTTGGCACAGAATAGCTCCTGGTTTAGAATCTGTGTTTGACTCACCTTATACGGTGCCACTCATTGCACCACGCCCTTTGTTGATTATAAATGGTGAAATGACCAATCCACTGTCCTCTTCTTGATCCATTTTTTTTTCTGATGAAATAATAACATGGAAAAAACTATCAGGTGAAGACGATCCCCGTTGCCCAATCAAAGGTATTGTTGTTCCCATATTAAAAACACGAAAAGCCTTCGAAGATGCCCAATGTTTCAATCATTTCAAGGTGTTGACTTTTGACTCTTGACTTTTCACCAATGTTTCTTGCTTTTTCTAAATGAACAAATTGCATGGAATAGCTACGTACTTTACTCCGAGAGAATATTAGTATGTTGCTATTATGGGTAATAAATTGAGTAGATTGTCTACATTGGTAAAAAAAGTAAAGTATAATGTTATATGATGTAATATTATGTTGTAAATGAGGTAATAATGTGATTTATTGTTAATGAAATTTAGGTGAAAATCGAATCAGGAATTGGACATGAAGTGACATCATCAATGCTTAAAGAAGTGAGTGATTGGTTTGACAAGTTTCTAAAACCTAAAGTGACATCATCAATTCTTAAAGAAGTGAGTGATTGGTTTGACAAGTATCTAAAACCATAGAAATTTCTCATGCATAGCTATGTACCTTATGCTCGACTGAATATTGTTGTATGTTGAAAAAGTATATGTATATCACATAAATAAAGCTTTGGCATTGTTGTTTGTACTAAACACAAGAAAAAGCCTTCCAATAAATGAAAGTTATTATAAATTCGATTATGCATTTTTTATTTTTTTTTTATAAATGTGAGGGCGAAATTTAACTATGTGTCGCAAGATTTGTGTTGTGAATTTGAAAGACATAGTTGTTGGTTGTTCCTTCTCTGAAGTGGCAAGCATTTTAGAAACAATATTCCTATAACTATGATTAATCATTTAGAAGCTATATCCTTATAAGTGTGATTTATCATTCTTCGAATCGTGGCTTTGTACATTCTTAATAACAACATAAAAAAATACTTAGAGGCTATCTGATACTTGTTGAGTGAGTCTGATTTGACAGAGTTAGGGTCTGACCAAGTTAAACGCATTTGTCTCTGACTGAAACAATGTTGTTTGATTATGCTGATTGCTGAAAATGACCGTTTTACCCTTCTGTTATGACTAATACACATGTCAGTGAAACATCATCCATGGATTTTTCGGTAAATAAATTAATTGTTTTTTAATTATTATTAATATTATTATTATTGTAAAATTATATAAACTCAAAATTATAAATATTATATAATATTCAGGCTTCATTCATGTTCTATGATCGTGTTCCTGTTCATGAACATCCTTCAACCACTACCATCGTTCCCTATTGAGCACCATGGATGAACAAGAAGAAAAATTAAAAGTGAAATCGACCGATTACATATTTTATTTAATCGCAAATCTCAGATTTTCAAGTTTGATGCCATAGTTCCATAGTTAATAAATGAATTGTGATATTACGAGCATTATTGAACCAGAATCTAGGAAAATATGATGAAACTTCTTGCTGATGACCAAGTGATCTTCAATCTAGGAAAATATGATGAAACTGTTTGTCTCTTTGAGGATTCCCTTTCACCATCAGAACCTTCACATAAACATCATCACAAGCATGAGCATGAAAAACACCGTCACAAGGATGAGCATGGAGAAGTACCAACATAGAGAAGCATAAAGAAGTACCAACATGGATCAGATTTCATACATACATAAGATTTCTACCAACATGGAGAAGAACATGGAAATTCTTCAGATTTCTACCCCACTTGGAGAAAAAAAAAACAGAGAAATTCATATATAATCTTATTTCACATATACATACATAATCTGATTTCACAAACAAAGAAATTCATCTGATTTTGTTCAGGCATTTTATCAAATAGTTAATGTGCATACCAAAACATTACACTTTGATGCTTCAAACTTGTACGTAAAATCATATACAGCTCCAAAGTAGATGATATGAAGACGAGGACAACATCTAAGATAATACATGGCAGAAAAATCGAAAACTAAATATATACCTGGAAAAAAATAAAATAAAAAAGGAGGAAAAAGATGGGGTTTTTCTTACTGCTGGAAGGAGACCGGAGCTTAGGTGAGACGACCAAGGCGTTGGTCGGAGGTGAGAGGAACCAACATAGATGTCGGTGGTGGTAGGAGTTGTGGAAGAAATTGCGACTGGGATAAGGAGAGAAAGAAATCACGTCAAGGCTAGGAGAACGAGAGGGCAAATCTAGGCAATATTATCTCAGCCAGCGTTTTTTTCATCTATTGTTTTAAATCGTCACTAATCTTTTTTTAGGCATTCTAAATCCCTAAACTAACAAATAACCTGTTACCAATGAAGCCCAACCCAGCTGCGGAAGAGGTGTAGGGTTTATACCCATTGAGGAGCAGAGGTGGGGAGTTCGATTCCTATTCGTGGCCACTCGTGGGGAATTTTCCTTGGAAATCCCAAAAAAATGCTGAGGGTTTGCCTTGTAAAGGAGCCCGAGACCCGGGTCTTTGCTCTAAAAGACAAAAGGGGCTTCCGCTTGGATATTTGCCGTTTTAAAAAAAAAAAAAAAAACAAATAATCTATTAAAGCAACACGCAACCCAGATTTGGTTTCTTCTTCACGCCCCTGTTCTTCTTCTTCACGATTCATTTTCCTCACCACTCAAAAATTCTTCCAAACCATCGGCTTTGAATCTGCCACCAAGCTTCTCCGTGTTCTAAATTGTGGTTGCAACCGATAACATCTTAATATATCTTTTTCATCTTCAAATTGTGGTCTGTAATTACTGCAAGAATGTGAAGGTATCAACGATGTCAATGGGTTCTTGATCAAGGCCATAAAGCTGATACCATAAGGTAGGAAAACTCATATTGCTTTGCTCTAAAGACGGACTACCATTTAGTCGAAGCAATAAAGCATCAATGAAAAGCCCAGTTATGCATGTGTTTTGATGAAGACAGTCTTGAGAAGAACATAAGATTTTATTTGACCTGGAAGGTGTTTTGATGAAGACAGACTTGAGAAGGCATGTGATTTTGGTTCAATGATGATGTTAATTTGTTCTTGTGGTGAGCTAATGTAGTTTCCTTTGGTTTTGTTTCAAGAAAAAAATAAGAACCAAACCAAACTTTGTTCTAAAGTAACAGGCAATAATGAGTTATCAAACGCACTAACCTGCAGTGCGTTTAGTAACTCATTCTAACCAGTAAGAGGTCTAATGTCATTCTAACCAAACCAACTTTCATCTAATGTTTAAATCATCACTAATCTTTTTTTAGGCATTCTTTAATGTTTTTTAAGCAAAATGGTTCTCTTTGATATACATGCCAATCATTCTATATTGTTTTTAATTTTTTTACCGTGGTTTTTGTTGTTGCTATTACGTTTGATAATTACAACCATTCAGCTATGTTGTACACTCTTGTGATTTTTTTAATTACTCCTTTTAATTTAATTTTTCAAAGAATCAATATTTGTAATAATTAAATGGTTGGATTTATTTTAATTACTCCTTTCAGTTGAATTTTTCATACCCTATATGTTGCTAAAGAGTTGTTGTTTTTCTGAATAATTGTTGGATCGAGTTGAATATTATAACAATTAAAGAGTACAACAGAAGCACCTCTTCTTACCAATATAGCAACATACTTACGGCTAATTCCAAAATAGCAATTTATTGTAATTGTCATTGATTTTTGTTTGATTTTCAAGGTTATTTTTATAGTAGTTTATACCGTTTTAAAATGAAGCTCAGTTTGACCCATAAAAGCATCATACTTATGGCTCTTTACCAATAATAACAATGCAAGAAAAAATTACAGAAATGGTCCATGTGGAAAAAAAGATTACATAATTGGTCCTTGTGGTGGAAAATAACTATATAATTGGTCCCTAGGCAGAAAAAGATTACGTAATTGGACCCTCACTTCGTAACGCAGAAAAACATTATAGTAATATATCATGTGTCAAGAAATATATTACACAAATGGTTACCAATGGTGGGATTTTTTTTTTTTTTTTGCTATTTAAAAAATGAAAGTATGTTGCTATAAATGTAATAGTATATTTGTTATAGTACAATGTTATAATGATGAAACAATGATCGGTCGTTGTCATTAACGAAAATCAAGGACAAACATTATCAAATGTTGGATATCCTACTTGCATAGGCTCGTCTTCACTCATGGTCAGTTATATGTCGTTTATCACGTCACAGGTAAAAGAGGATTGAAGGTACTAATATGTGATAAGGATTGTTTTCCAATTAATAAAAAAAAATGTTGTTTACAAAGAGGTCCCTCAATGATTATAGATATTCAGGCATCTTATTGTTTTTTTTCAAACATTTCAATGTTACCAATAACATTAAGTCTGTTTCTGTTTATTTATCTTTTATTATTATTATTGTACCTACTTTGTAAAAAAATTAGGATTTTGCGTTAACTGAATTGCTCTTCCATTTTAGCCTCTATTATCATGCCAAATACAGAGATTGAAACTTGAAAATCAAATTCATTTCTTTGTTTTCTTATATATGGAATTGAAAAGGAAGTTGAATTAAATTATCGTGGTTAATCTAAAAACTTCTCACAGTAACATTGTTGTACAATGTAATTGTTATCTTTTTGATTGAACAAGTCACTTGATGATTTGCAGAATATGGACAAAGTAGATGATACATTATTTTTTGCAGGAAGGATTCCTTTTGCTTTTCTTGAAGACATTCATCAAAAGTTTGTGAGGACTTATCGTCGAGCAGTATTATCAGCCCAAGCTTATGGCATGAATGAGCCAGGTCGGCAGCTTCTTCTTCTTCTATAATTGAAATCATATATTTTTAATCATTTATGCATATATACAGATCTCCATTAACCGGTTATTCTAAACCATTTAGGTTTTTATAATAGTAATGTCATGTAAATAAGAAAATTATCAATTAATTTGAAATTTTGAATCAATATAATTGATATCTTTCTTTTTTCCAACTAATTTTTCGAAAATCTCCTATATGATGTCTTAGGATCCCTGCTTTTTTTGGAAATAATGATTTCTAGTGGTCTTCTTCAGCGGTCTTCTTCTCCAAATTTTCTTCCAAGTTCTTTCTTTACTCTGGATCTCTTTCTTCTTCTCTAATTTCTTGCATTTACTATGTTCTTATTACCTGTTATCACTCTATATTCCTGTTGAGAATTCATGAAAAACAATTAATGAACATTCTTTAAACATCTTACTTTCCTTATTCCTTATGTGAACGTTCCCTGCTCCAGCAAGTAAAAATCCAGTAATGGTGTCCTACATTAGATTTAAACTATTATTATAGGAACTTTAAAACACATCAATATTCTTAAACTGATGATAAATTAACCATGGCTCTGTGTATACAACATTACACATGGAATGGCAAATAGTACCGATTCTATAATACATTATAACCTAAATTACAATTTATATTCTCAAGCTATGTTCGTAAAATATTACATTTTTTAAAATTTTTTATCTAGAAAAAACAAACAAGAACCTTACCTGTCCATTATGGTAATGTTGTTTCAAGAAAGAAATTAAAAAACAAATGGGTTAGTGACCATCGGATTATATCATGTATGACATGATACCACATCTAATAGCATTGTACTTTATAAAAATTGATTTTGAACAATTTTCTATAAGAAAGTATATTGTTTTGTTGTGTGTGATTGATTTGCCCCTGAAATTCTACATTACAGAGAAAACGAAAAAAAAAGAAAAAAAAACTTCAAAGTTTGTTTGTAATCTCTGGCCACATGTTTGCATTCAATAAGTAGAAACAAAGTTTGTTGCGCTACAGGTGACCATATTCATTCAATTGTATCGACCATTTATCCGTCTTTTGAAAACCGTCTTGATATTGTGTCGGCTTTTTATACCTTATATATATATATATATATATATATATATATATATATATATATATATATATATATAATATATATATATATATATATATAATTTGCTCCCCCGCGTTTTACACGGGTCATAATCTAGTAATTCAATATATAATGCGAATTTAAAGGCCATAAAGAAACTTATTAGATCGTGTCAGATTGTCAAGCACTACATCAAAATCCACAACTCGCATCAAATGCAATAAACTCGATGAATCAAATCCATAAATAAAAAATTGAATCAAACTGCGTGTATGGATTGATAGAGTTAACAGAACATTAACTTGCCCCGGATGCAATGGAGAGATCAATAGATCTGTAACAATCATGAAATTCATGAAAATTTAAAACTTTTTCAAGCATTCAAAAAACCATTATTTATTACAAAATCTTTTCAAAATAGTTTCATATCAAAGTATCCCATAAATCAAAATCATAAAATGTGAGGATTGTGAACACATAAACATACACACACACACACTCACTGTTTTGATGATGGTGGTGGTAGGATTTCACCCATCTACAACATGCATGTTGTAGATGGTGAAGTCCCATGACCTAAACCTAAGTCAAAATCATGGAAATGCACTTTTCTTCACGTTTTGGTGGAAAAACACCACATGCATCCAAAGTTTTCTTTCAAAAACGATTTTTGAACATTTCAAACTCATGAATGGTCCTCAAACCAACATACATGTGATGATCTTCAAGCTTAGATGCTAGATGATCAAAGTTTGTTGTTAAAAGCTTTCAAATATGTTAATGAAGGATTTATTCCCAAATAAATACCTAAAACTTCTTTTCTGTTCAAATACGATTTTTCCCAGAATCCAACCAACAAAATAAGATGATCTGTAAATTTTCAGAACTTAATTCATATTTCTCGAATTATTATAATTATTGCAAGAAAATAGAGTAATAAATCATATAAAATACTCTCTGAGGTCCATAAATCTTGGATAAATTTGTGTTTGACCCTTATAGTTAACAAACATCTCTCATGAAGTTTCATTAATTTTTGTTATTGTTTTCTATGCTTTTTGAATTTCTTTATGATTAACACAAATAAATCATAAAACCAAGTTCCGAGATACTAAAAGAGCATTTAATAATTTTTGCTTCTTCTAGGTCATGTTTCATACTCAGAAAATATTTTGGGTTTTTTTCATAACGTATTTTTATTTTTCCATGATTTTTGTGTTTATATAACGGACTAAAATCGATAAAAATAGTTTTACTCATCCAAAATTAATGAACCTTTACCAGAAAATCTTATATTACATTAGGATGCTATATAAAAAGTTGTACAATTTTTCTCTTCTGTAAGCTATTTTTCTTCTATTTTCCTAAGATTAAACATTCATAAATCCAAAAATCAGACTTCACTATTTACAAACGCCTCTTGATATGTTTTACATATTATATACAACATCAAACAATTTTTACAAAAAATGTTCAGGAATTATCT